TTTTTTTTTTTTTTTTTTTTTTGCATATGTGCATCTTCCTATTATCATATTGTCCTGCATCATTCTGGTTAACAGGTGATGGGTTTCAGACTCATATTAGGGTCACCCTAAAATAGTTAAATCGAAGGAAAAAAAATACATAGAATAGTTGCTCAAGAGCCTTTACTGTTAGTTGTATAAATACCCTATGCTTACATTTCTGTCTCTTATTAGACAAGGTCTAGTTTAGACCAAACGTTAAAAAATAAATCAATAAAACTGCTCCTTTTTCTCTTTGTTTTTCTTCAGGCAATTCTCTTATTGCCCAGAGGGAAAATTGTGATTATTTCATTTTGTTTTCTCAAAATTAAAAATGTTGCAATTTAGTCAAGTTTAAAAGTGTATAATGCCTGATTTTTAAATGTAATATTTAAGATACAAGGTTGAGTTTTGCTAAAGTAAACTATTGTTCAAAATATGTAAGTTAAATACAAATTATAGAATATTCAAAAACATGTTAACTGTCAGATTTTGTTTTCTTGTGACTTTAAGACGGTTTAATTGAAAGTATAGATCAATTTATAATATATAACAAAAAGAAAATTATCATTATATGTTTAATTCTCTTAAAAAAATATACCTCGAAGACTTTGAGTGTCCTGGAAAGCGCAGGCGTTTTGGAGTTCCTCAAAGTGAAGAACATGTTCAGAAGCGCCTTTCCATCTTCCTCCTCAAACACGATCTGCTCAGTGGCCTCCGCTGCCTCCGCCGCTGCCGCTGCCGCTTCTCTCTCCTTCCGCGCATCCTCGATCAAACTCTGTCGTCTACCGATGAACCTCTGAGACTGTCAGCGGAACAAAACAAAAAAAAAAAGATAAAAGAAAGGAAAAGAAAATGCAAAACCCACTTGTGCAGTATATGACTATCCCCCAAGCAGGAAACACAGACACACAACACCAGAGACAGGCAGCTGTTTGTCTTTTCTTACTTTTTGGATGTCTCTTTGGGTATTTGATGGGAGCGCTTTACATCTCCAAAAGCGCATTGGAACAGCAATGCAATCGAGGTAGATCCTAAAACATAGCTATACCAAAGGGTATATTTTAGCATTCTTTGGATGGGTGACTTGGGAGAGGAGGGGGCGACTTTTTTTTATTTTTTCTTTTCTTTTGTATAAATAGGCTATAACACGTTGCGCGTCTTCAGCAATACATGGCGCTGCGTAAAAATCAGTTGAACCCATTATTTTACGCGCATGCAAGTCCTTGGTCCAAATTTTGACAACTTGCAACTTGCATACATAATAAGAGACGTTTCTGAATCAACAGTCTTGATTTTGGTTTGAGTTTTGATGGTTTTTCTTACCGTTATGGAATCCGACCTCTCCAGCTCGGATGCCGCTCTGCGGACACTCTTGGTGGAGGATGTGGAGCTGCTAGAAAGTGGCATCCTAAAGCCTCGGTCTGATCACTTTAGTCGGCTGAAGCAGAAAGGAAAGTGTCTTTGAGGCGCTCTGCAACCTAGTCAGGCTGTGCTGGGAGGTCTTTCACATTTTTTACAGACAGGTTTACTCTTTTTATAGCATCATTTGTTTACAGTTTCTGACGTCAAACGGGCTAATCTCACTCAAATCAATCGGTGCACTAAATCAGACTCAGACTTAGTTTGATTTGTCTATATATAGTTCATTTAACCCCTCTTAGAGTGCATCATTTAGATTTTTTTTTTATTGGAAGTTTTTTTAGTTATATATCTACACAATACACACGCATATTCACACATACACACAATAAGGAAATTTTGGTATTGCCGCATTACACCAAAAGTGGTCAAACAAATGTGCACCTTAAAAGTGTATCAAAAATACCAAAATAAGTGGCAGAGTTAAAAAAAAAAATAAC